AATAGCTTCTTATTGCCAAATGGTATTTATTATTAATTATTATTTAGTTAATCCTGATCTTACAATACTTAGAATATGTTAGAATCCTTTATTTGAAGCATCAGGAACACTTATCCTATAAGGATAGTTCATTAATCATTAAGGGAAAGATTTAAAACCATTGCTTAAATCCAAAGGAAGTTGCTTTTTAGAAGACTTAAAGCAAAAGTGAATTTGAATATCAATTAAAACATTACAATGCACAATTTAATCATTTTCTCATAACTTTTTGAATAATATGTGTTTTTTATTAGTATTTAAATATTTGAAGAATATTGAGACGTATACACTAAACAGATTTTGTCCTAATAATGATTACTAATAGTTTAGTATAATTTAGATTTTCAGTTTATAATAAAGATAATGATACAATTAATAAAAAAGAAAAGAAGAAAGATACATTTCAAAAATTAAAAAATAACCTTAATCTTAGAAATGATCTTAAATGATAACAAAGTTAAAACATTGGGATTGAATGATTTTTAGAATTACTCTACTCTAATCTTGGTAATATTTTTGTAACCTGTTATTTAGTATTTTCAATTGATATTAAAAGTATTAGGTAGAATAAAGGAAATATATTAAAAATCAATAAGTACCTAATAGGATTTAGAGAGCATAATGATATCCATCCCTAAAAATAATCTTAATGTTTGAATTACATCCAAACCAAGCAAGCTACTTTCGACAATAATTTTGCGTAATTTATATAAATAATTAACAGTAATTAATCACTCAAATAAGAACTATGTATCTTACCTCAATCGGATTTTTTTTTAGAAATTAATTAATATCTACACAACGATAATATCAGTCAACTAGTTCAATTTTATTAATTGATTATGAAATTAAGAAATTGTTAAAAAAATAATAAAATTGTTCTTATCTATAACTTTGAATTTAACTCTATTAGACAATAAATTTTTAGTCTTAACTAAGTTTATTGATATTACAGGAATGTTTTATTTTCTCTTAAAAAGTTGTAATGTTACAAGTTTCTTATTTCTAATTCAGTAATAGAAAAAGAAATTTGATGCAAACAGCATAAACAACCAATCGAATCTGTCTTTCTAGACTCTAAATTATCGAACGATTAAAGAGTTTTATGCAAATCTTGTAGCAAATAAAATCCAAATCAAGCAGAGATTGTTGATTATCTTCTGCTTAAATAAAACATTGATAGAGAACAATGTAAAAGATTAAAAAATACCAGCCAACAATTAAACCTCATATTGAATATGTCGAAAACTTTTAGAAAGTTGCAGATGCAATTAGATAAAGATTAGTTCGATTTCTTGATAATTTACTTTGGCTTTCGAAAGATTGGATCACTAATTTAGCTGATTTTGCATAATAATACAGCTTTTTTGGAGAATTAGGTTATAAATCGAGAGGAAGTAGGCAGATATTGAATCAAAAAATATTCTCCACATTCACAGATACAATTAACTTTAAAAGAGATAAAGTAAGTATATAACCGAAAGGAAGATATCTTTTAGGTATTTACTTAGACTAAGCATTTTGATGGATCCTGCCTTTATGAGCTACACTAGATACTGAGAAACAATAAAATTACTAATTGTTTAGAGTACTTTTAAAGTAAAACTGAGTTGAAATTTATCGCTTCTATGATTTAAAATGTTAGCTTAATAGATTTTAATAAGAAAAATTATTCAACTGAGAATTATGATATTATTAGCAATTTATTAGTAGAAATAAAAGTGGATTTGAGAGAAAAAAGCTTTGAGACATAAGAATTAGAGATACTTCTTTGGTTGGTGGAAATTTTGTAAGATGCAATTTCAATGGATCAGAATTTGATAATGTGGATATAAGTAGAATGAGCTTAATTGTTCAATTGTAAATGGAAAAATATTAAAATACATGAGTTAAATAAATTAGATGGTCATTCTCCTGATGGTACTACATTAGCATCTGGTAGTGAAGATAAGTCGATCAGTTTATGAGAAGTAAAGACAGGAGAAGAAATTGTATCAGATAATCGATATAAAAACATTTTAGCATAATTTTAAACTCCAATTTATAAAAACAAAATATTTAAAGAAAGTGGTATTAATTATCAATTATTATTTAAGTTCATCGATTATAAATATTCTTCTGATATCACAATAGCCTATATTTTAATCTTAAGGAGCATTAATTTTGAAAGGAGAATTTAGCAATCAATCAGGTATCAATTTGAGGAGATTAAACAAAGAGGAAGTATCATTTTAGAGAACCAAATTGAATTTTAAAAACCATGAAACTGATTAATATTCATATCATATAATACAATATCATATTTCAGAATCAACTCTCATTATCGAATGATTTAAAAACAACAAATATGTAGAATTAATGAAGAATTAAATACTTTATGATGCAAGCTAAAATTCCAATTAACTAGGATTGCATTTTTAAATCAGATATAAAAAATATTCGTCAACTTTAAGAAATCGATTTTGAGGATTAGGTACCTGCATCCCGAATAAGGTAGGGGTTTTTAGCTCCTACAGCCGGAATACGAATCTCTATTATGGAATATTAAGATAGGATAATAAAAAGCAAAATTAGATGGCCATTCATCAGCAGTTTATTCAATTTGTTACTCTCCTGATGAAAATACATTAGCATCCAATAGTTATGATAGGTCTATCCATTTATGGGATGTTAAGACACGATTATAAAAAGCCAAATTAGATGGTCAATCTGATGGAGTTTATTCAATTTGATACTCTCCTAATGGTACTACATTAGCAACCGGTAGTGATGATAAGTCTATCCGTTTATGGGATGTTAAAACAGCACAAGAGATTCTACCTTAAGATAATTTTTACAAACATCTTCTTTCTCAATTCAAATTGCAGCTCTAAAATCACTCAATTTAAAAAAATACTTATTAATAATATTCTTCGGCTGAGATTGATCGTACAATATAAAAAATATGTTAAAATCCAATTTTTGAATCTTTAGATACTATTATTTTGAAAGGAGTATTTGAAAATTATTCAAGGTTTGGATTTAAAACCCTTGTTCATATCTAAAGAGACAGAATTTTAGAAAAATTTAAAGAATTGCAATAAGATTGATTATTATTAAAAATATCATATATATATTTTAAAAGAATCTCTGAATATATTTGATCGCTTTCTTTGAAGCATGGATAAACAGTTATATTTAATTTAAATTATTTCAACAAGAAAGATTTATGATACACTTATACAGCTAAATTTAAAATAAAGCAAACAGTACTTATAAAAATGTTCATCATTTTTAAAAAGTTTAATTGTCTATTCTTAAGCCATTTCACTTAAATGAATAAATCTGTAAATTTTCTTCAAT